GGCAATCCTTCCGTCTCAGCCTTGCAAGTAGCTGAAACTACAGGCGAGCACCACCACGCCTGGCTAATTTTTTTCATTTATTGTAGAGAAAAGGACTTGTCATATTTCCCAGATTGGTCTTGAACCCGTGGGTTCAGGCAATCCTCTTGCCTCCGCCTCCCAAATTGCTGGGATAATAGGCGTGAGCCACTGCACCCAGCCTAAAAAGGTATTTTTTTTAAAAAATAGGTCAATCTTGGAATACATTCAATGTGGTGATAAGTAAAAAGGTATTTTATAATGGCTACTTGTATATAGAAATATAATTGACTTTCCTGTGTTGACTGTGTATCTGCTAAAAAGAAAAATCTGTGACTAGTTAAGTTTAACAGAATTTTAATTAAGCAGAAAAAAGATGGGCAGCAGTCCAGACCAAAAATGGTTCAGAATGTTCCACCTAGCAACGTAAAGGCTTGTATTTATAGCCAGAGAAGAGGAAACGCCACACAGAAGTAACCTGATTGGTTGCAGTTGGCAGTTTGCCTTCTTTGGTCATGTTTTGGCAGCTTTCAGCCTCTGATTGGCTGGAGGTTCAACTACTATGATTGGCTGAGACTTGGCTACACGTTACAAGTTGCTATTCTTAGGTTAGGATACAATTTGTTCACACATTAAGTTTGATTACAGCTCACATATGCAGGGGAAGCTTTTAGGCCAAACAATTCAATTTAACATGTCAGATAATCCTGCTTCTTTATTTTTTTAGCTTAATTTGTTTATTATTATTATATTTTGGTTTATATTGCCTGGTGTATATTTTCCATTCTTTTTCTTTCTACCTTTCCTTATCCTTATTTTTTAATTTTTGGTAGAGATGAGGTCTGAGTTGCCCCAGTCTAGTCTCAAACTCCTGGCCTCAAGTGATCCTCCAGCCTCAGCCTCCCAAAGTGCTGGGATTACAGGCATAAGCCACCATTCCCTTCTTATTCTTTATTAATTTGAATGGGTCATTTGAAGTCTTTCGGATTTTCTACATTCAAAATTTTACCTTCTGAGATTAATGACAATGTTTCTAGAGAGAAGAAAAAAAAAGATGTTAGTTCTCCTTTGCAAATCCTAGTAACTTCTATTCCTTTCTCTTGCCTTCCTGCACAAGCCAAGTCCTCCTGCGCGTGGTGGGGCAGGCACCATCATCTCACTCCTGGTAATGGGAGAACGCTTTATCGCTTTCACAATTTTGCTATTCATTATGGTATTTCCTGGGGGAGTTTTGTAAACACAGATGGCCTCTGACCTGTGATAACTTAACTTACAAATTTGCAACTTTACAATGGTGCAAAAGCAATCCACATCCAGTAGAAACCACACTTTGTGTACTGACACAAGCATTCTGCTTTTGACTTTCAGTACAGTAGTCAATAAATTACATGAGGTCTTCAGCACTTTATTATAAAATAGGCTTTGTGTGACATGATTCTGTCCAGCTGTAGGCTAAGATAAGTGTTCTGAGAACATGTAAGGCAGGCTAGGCTAAACTATGATGTTGGGTAGGATAAGTATATTAAATGCATATTCAACTTATTTTTGATATTTTCAACTTACAATGGTTTTTTTTTTTGGACATAATTCTGTCCTAACTCGAGGAGCATCTGTATATATTTAATTTTACTTATAGTCTATAGCAGTGTCTATCATTTTTTGTTTTTTTGAGAAAGCAGGATTTATTGAGAGGACAGAGATGTTCCCACTGTAGGAGGAGACCAAAGGGGTTGCTCCAGTGTCTGTCATTACTAAGTATACATTTAAGTTTACTTGTAGTATGTTCCAATGTCCCAGAGAACTCTGTCTTCCCACATCCACACTGGCCAAGGGCTTGGCCAGATGTGTTCCAGCCAACAGCACATGGGCACATATGACCCAAGCAGAGCTGTAAAGAGCCCAAGCGCTGGTGCTGCTAGCAGTTCTACCACATGGGATGGATTCCTGGAGAAGGCACAGGGACCCACCATCATCCCTGCCAAGACCCAAACGTTCAGTGAGCCCAGCCTCATGGGTAGAGTAAGCTGACTCTAATCCAAAATGCCAGCAATTCAATGGCCACTGTTTGAAGGTACTATGTCCAGTGAATTTTGTTATACAGCAAAAGATAACTGATATTGAGGTAGGTCTCTTTTATCCTCTTTTTTTTCCTTATTCTCAGGATGGTCTTCCAATATCCTGTATTTCTGTAGATTTTTTTTTTTTTTGAGTTGGAGTCTCACTCTGTCGTCCAGACTGGAGTGCAGTGGCCGCTCCTGGCCACCACAACCTCGACCTGCTGAGCTCCAGCGATCCTTCAGCCAAGGCCTTCCAAGTAGCTGGAACTACAGGCGCGCGCTACCACACCCAGTTAATTTTTTGATTTATTGTAGAGATGAGGTCTCACCAACTTGCCCAGGAGGGTCTCGAACCTGTGGACTCAGGCAATCCACTCACCTCAGCCTCCCAAGGTACGGAATTACAGGCTGAGCCACCGAACCTGCCTTCTGTAGATTTTTCGTGTTATTTTTGTAAGCTCCCAAAACACCCTCTGGGGCCAGGCATGGTGGTTCACACCTATAATCCCAGCACTTTGGGAGGCCAAGGCCAGAGGATTGCTTGAGTCCAGGAATTCAAGATCAGTCTGAGAAACATAGCAAGACCTCATTTCTGTACCAAAAAAAAATTTTAGCAGGCATGGTGGCATGTACCTATAGTCCCAACTACTTTGGAGTCTAAGGAAGGAGGATCGCCTGAGCCCAGGAGGTTGAGGCTGCAGCGAGCTGTGATAGTGCCACTGCACTCTAGCCTGGGTGACAGAGTGAGACCCCAACTCCAAACAACAACAAAAATATCTGTTGGGATCGACTGACAATATAATAAATGTATGCATTACTTTAGGGAGTAAATAAAAACACTAGCCTAGACACGGTGGCTCATGCCCATAATCCCAGCACTTCAGGAGGTGGAGATGAGAGGACTGTTTGAGTCCAGTAGTTCAACAGTAGCCTGGGCAACTTGGTGAGAACTCATCTCCACAAGAAATAAAAAAATTAGCTAGGCATGGTGGTGAGCACCTGTAGTCCCAGCTATCCCAGCTACTTGGGAGGCTGAGGCAGTAGGAACACCTGAGCCCAGCAGGTCAAGGGTGGGGTAGCCGCGAGTGTGCTACTGCACTTCAGCCTGGGTGCCAGAGTGAGGTCCCTACTCAGAATAAAAAAATAAATAAACCTGACATTCCTGGAATAAACCCAACTTGGGTGGGATGAAATACCCTGTTTGTCAGTGTATGTTCACCAGAGAAAATGGCCTGTAAAGGTTTCTCTCTTGTCATGGCCTTTGCAAGTTTTAGTATCAAGGTTATGTTAGTTTGTAGAGCGAGTTGGTAAGAATTTCCTCTGTGATCTAAAAGACTTTGTATAAGATTGCTGCTATTTTGATTTGAGTCTTTAGAGATTCTAGTTCTTGCCATTGTTTCCTGAGTACATTGATTACTGTTACTGAAAAATCTTTCTGCCTTGGGAATAGTGTTTAAAAAAAAGAGAGGAAAATCTGATAAATTCAACATTGGGGTAGCCACAGATTTCTACTATGGTTTTTGTCTTGTTATTTGGTCCTGTGTTCTGGCATGCCTGTTAATATTTTATTGACTATAGCTCACAATAATTTATTGCATACTTTTTAATAGCTAGAAGAAAGAACTGTGATTGTTCCCAACACAAAGAAATGTCTCAGGTGACGGATATGATGAGTACCCTGATTTGATCATTACACATACATACATGTATTGAAATACCACACTACACCCCACAAATATGTACAATTACACATCGATTAAAAATAATTTAAAAATTATATCGAGCCGGGCTCGGTGGCTCAGCCTGTAATCCCGGCGCCTTTGGGAGGCTGAGGTGAGTGGATTGCCTGAGCCCGTGGGTT